CATATATATATATATATATATATATGTATGTTAATTTTTAAAATACGTGTACCTAGAAATGGAATTACATTGAAGGAAATCAAACTGTTTTCTGAAGTGTTTTGCTACCCTATGGTCTCATCAGCACCTGTGAGAACTATGGTTGCTCTGCATTATCACCGACAGCTGATATTGTCATTCCTTCTAATTGCCTTTATTAGGTTTAATCAATCAAGTATGTTGGTGTGCTCATGTGTGTGCTCAAGTGTGCCATAGCAGAGACACGGAGGTCAGTGAACAACTTAAAGGAGTCAGTGCTCTCTTTCCATTATGAAGGTTCCAAGGACTGAGCTCAGGTCATCAGGCTTGGCAGCAAGTACCTTTACCTGCTGAGCCATTTAGCTGGCCCTTGTCAGTCTTTTAAATTTAATTCACTCTGGTGCATGAATGATGATGTTTCTTTATTGGTAGCCAATGAATTAAAAAAAAAGTCTTTGAAAACTTGTAGTATTGGCTTCTGGATTCTTTTTTTCCATCCTCAAGTGTGTCTGTGTAAATAGCTCGTCTAAGGCTGAGCCCCGATTTGTCACTCAGCCTCGTTGATCTATATTACACCTGGAACTGGCCCCACACCCCAGAAACAGTCATCTCATTGGGAGGTTAGTGAAACTCCTGGGTGGTCACACCGCTTAGATGCCAAACTGCCTTACTCCTCAGAGGCAAATCTATCTGTGAGTTGTGATGGAGTTACTAGACGCCTTTCTACACTGTCTGTGGTTTAATGAAAGGCAAATGGCCTTTACTTTTGTACAGACTAAAATCACTTTGTTCTTTCACAGCTTTTAGAAGCTACTCAGGATTTCTCCTGGGAGAGCAGGCACAGAGGTGCTCTGCTCTCTCTACAGGGAACAGTTGAACCCTCCTCTCTCCTGTATTTTTCTCCCCATCCTTTCCTCTCCTCTTGTTTTTCTTCTCTTACCAATCGAACACAAGTTGAACAAACTATATCAACAAAAATTTGGAATCATCAGGAAAACAAAAATGACTGAAATATCACATTCATACTCCAGTTCATTCTGAATTTAAAATAGGTCTGATTTATGTCATGTAGAGTTTTCATATGTATATTGAATTCTATTTTGCCCTTCATGTAGTTCTGCCCATAGTCTTAGATAATTCTCAAAACTGTGATTCCTAATCACACTATAGTAAGTAGCAAGCTTGAGGAGCCATGTCCTCAATAGATATACCATATTCCAAAGTGCGAAGGTAACAATCCCCTTCTGTTGGACATTTATGTTACTTTCAGTTTGGAGCATTGATAGACTATACAGAATGACTATATAAGTCATTATATGCAGCTATGCTTATTTTCTTAGGATTAATTTCTAGATGTAGAATTACAAGGGAGGTGAACCTTCAGATATCACCTTGTCCCCCCGCCCATGAGCCTTTGCTCTTCCATGTACTCTCTTATGATGTGCTGTCTCTTCACAGAAACAAAGTGATGAGGCCAATAGATCATGGATGGAGGTCCCCAAAACTGTGAGTCAAAATAAACTTTGTGCCTCTATATGTTTAATATTTCAGGTATTTCTTTATAGTGATAAAACAGTGTTACCACAGCACAAACCAGCTGTTCCGACTGCTGTACCAGTCCAGAAAGATGTCCAGAAAGATGTAACCTAGTTTGTTACTAAAACAATTTATGAGAATTCCTTTTTCATGACAAACATGCATCTTTTTAAAAACTCTTTTAAAATAACATACACACATTCTTTTAAGTTATAAAGCAACATCTGATTATTGCCCAAATCCTGTGATTCTATTTTTAAATGTTTGAATGAAAGCTGAACTATGTTTTGGGATGCACCCTCTGCTCTGCAGGGCGGTGGTAGATGCTGTTGGGTAAGAACTAGGAACAGTGAGGTGGGAGTCCTCAGGGCCTTTTCCACAGCAGCAGTCAACCGTTGGGCCTTCTCCTTTCCTTCCTTCTTTCTTGGTGTTCATTCGTGTTAGTCTCCAAATCTTTCTGTATCTTTGACATCCATGTGCAGAGTAAGACTGCACTTTGTGGTCCCTTTGTTGTTGGGTGACTAGTGGTTGGATCATATGACCAGATCTAGACAATAAGAGGTGAGTAGAGGTGGCATTAGCATCAGATCAGTCATTTAATTGTGGGTAGGAAGCTGTGCAGAGCTTGGTTTTCCTCTCTCACACACCTGGGAGCATGGAAGTTGGTTGTCACTGCCTCTGCATGGGCCCTGGCATCATGGAATATGAGCACTACCTCCAATCCACAATATAACGACGCTGTATTAGCTTTCTCAGTGCTGTGATGAAATACCTGATAGAAACAATTTAAAGGAAGAGGACTTATTTCAGCTCATGGTTTAAGAGGAAATCCAATCCATCCTGGTGGGGAAGGCATGGTGGGAGCATAAACCAGCTCACTCTGTACCTGCAGCTGGGAAGCAGAGAGATGAATATTGATGCTCACCAGGCTACCTCTTTGCCTCCCTTGTATTAGT